TAATGTTTTTAACTCTTCAGGAAAATACCCTGAAGGGGAATAGTTGGGGCAAATGGGACCCTAGTTTTTTGAGGAATCTCCACACTGATTTCCACAGTGGTTGCACAAGTCTACACTCCCCCCAACAGTAGAAAAAGGTGATTGTATTTTTTGTGTATGTATTTTTAAAAAGCAGGTTTTTCTTTTCTTTTTTGCTTCCATCCCTGTGCCACTGTTCTCCCCTCTTCCACCCACATTTATTTCACTTCTTTCATCCCTTCACTAACCAGCATTCTCAAATACTCATATGAGAATACTTACATACATATACATGCACATGTATGCATGAGATCATGTTCTATATATTGCTTTTATCCTTCAAAAGTAGTAAAACTCACCCAAGTGAACTAATTTCATGGGCTGCACAGCATTCTATGTGATCAAAACCATTATGTACATTTGGAGCAGCTTATGCAACATGCAACACAAAGTTTATGGGCAAGGACTCCTGGAGTTGTGTAACATGAAGTAACCCTGGTTGTGAATGTTACTGTATTTCTTATAGTTTATTCAAGTATTCCAGAAATAAGCTCATAATTAAAGTTGGAAATTTCAACATTCCTCTCTCAATAATGGAATGTCTGTGTTTGCTTCATGTATTTTGAAGCTCATTTGTTCAGTGCATGTTCCAGTTAAGTTTAATTATCAAATTGACTAGGTTAAGAGACTCCCAAGAGGTGACTGGATTATGGGTCTCCATACTTAAGGGTGAATTAATCTGCTGATGTTCATAACTGAAATGTGTTGTCAGGTAGGCCTCAGTTGCAGCATGTGGGTCACTGAATGCTTACATTGGGAGGGGATATTTCTTGCTGGTGCTCTACTGTAGAGCACCACAAAAGTGCAAGCTGGCAGTACTTTGGTTCAGGCTGTGAAGGGTAGGGCATGCAGGAGGCAGTGGGTTCTGTATCAACAGAACTCTACGCAACACCACCTCCTAATAATCCAATGTAAATAACTTTTGTAGCCAAGGGCACTGCATGTTGGTGTAAATTACTTATATAACAAAGGTTGTTACTAGCACATGGCTACTATTGTGTATTTTCATATAAATGCAGACTGCCAGGAGACTGACCAAAGGACTGCTGCAAGAATTGGCTGGGTAGGGGGCTAATGACTGCTGCGAATGTACAGTGACTGGGGCCCCAAGATAGGCTGAACAGATGGACTGTAGCTAACAGCTGAATTAAAATTTCTTTTTAATTATGTTATACATACAGTCTACACGAAATTTGTTTTTTGGAGACAGGTCTTGCTGTGTTGCCCAGGCTGGCCTTGAAGTCAGAGCCCTGAGTAGCTAGGACCACAGACATGCATTAGCGTGTATAGTGCCACTTCTGCCACTTCAAGTGGAAATGTAGAAATATTACCGCAGATAGACTCCTTTGCCGTTCTGCCTTTATAGTGTAGTTGTCACACATTGTATCCGCTGTAATGTACACTGAAAACATAAGAAGACAATGTTAATATATTTGCTTTCAGCCATCAAATATATTTTAAAGGACTCAAGGAGAGAGTAATATTTACTGATATTTACCATTTTGTTCTTCCTTCATTCCTGATATGCTAGTTTCCTTCAAGTATCGTTTTCCTTCTGCTCAAAAAGTATTCTTTAACAGTTCTTTCTGAGCAAGTTTGCTGGCAGAAAATTCTCTTTCATTGTCCTTCATCTGTGAATGTCTTTACTTCTACTTCATTTCTGAATAATATTTTTGCAGGGTATGGATTTCTACGAGACAGATCTTTTCTTTCAATGCAGAAAATTTTGTTCCACTTCTCTCTGGTCTCCTTGGTTTCTAATGAGAAATCTGCCATCCTTTGAATCTTTCATTGTTCTACCCTGTAAATAATATTTTGTGTCTTTCTGGTTCTTCTCAAGAATTTTTCTTTTCCTCTAATTTTTAAAAGTTTTATTATGATGTGTGTGGACAGGGATTCCTTTGGGCTTATCCTCATTAGCATAATTTAAACTTCTTGAATCTATATCTGTTTTCCTAAATTGGAATTTTCAGCTATTATTTTCCCAAATATTTTTCTATGCCATCATACTCTTTCATCTTTTGTTCAAAGATTCCAAGAAGACAAACATTAGACTATTAGATGTTATTCCCCAAATCTCTATTCATTTATTTCTTTTTTCCAGATAGTTTTATTTCTCTTCATATATTTTCAAGTTTAATATTTACTCAGTCATCTTCATTCTACTACTGAGCCCATCCAGTGATTTTTAAATTTTTGGGGGGTTTTCTATTTCAGCTGTAAAATCTACATATGATTCTCCTTTATATATTGTTTTTTTTCTGAAATTTTTTTCCCACTCATTTCCTGAAAGTTTGCTTTTCTTGAAGCATTGCTGTAATAACTTTTAAACTCTCATCAGGTAATTCTTTGTCATCTTATGTTAGTGTATGTTGTCTTCCTATGAGAGTTGAGATTTGTTATTTTTATCCATATTCAGAGTAACTTTGGATCATAAACTAGACAACTTGAATATAAGGAGCAGGTTTGCTAGCAGCAAATTTTCTTTTGTTCTCCTTTCCTAGGAAATCTATCTTTTATAAATATTATGAAAAACATTTTTTGTTGTAACCAAGAATCAATATACTTGGGTTCAGCCTAGAAGTTCTGACTAATCTGTGGGTTGTAGTTTCAATGTCAGTTCCATTTTCAAAGTATTTAGTGCTACTCAGTTCTATCAAATGTGTGCTGTGTAGTGGCTACTATCACTTTAAATGTTGCATGTCTTCCACAGACCCCTATTAAATAAAGG